GAGCAGATCCCGGCACGGGCGCACTAAGGAGAGGCAGAAGCAGTGGCAGTGGGGAGCTGGCCCTGGGGGCTGCATGCAGGCACGGCGCAGACCCTTCCCAACAGCTTCGCTGCGGGGAAATGTGGGCGCGCGAGGCACCAGGCTGTCCCGTGCCCCGGTTTCCCGTGTCCCTCCTGTCCTGGTTTGGCTGGGACAGAACCCCAGCCCAGCCCTGCTGGGCAGGCCATTAGCAGTTCCAAGTCAGCCAGGGCAGCTGACCTGGGTTAGCTATAGGGGTAGCCCATCCCATAGTGTCGTTGTCATTATAAAGGGGGAAGGTTTGCTGAGGAGAGGGAGCTCCTGTGGGGTTTCTACTCAGGTTCCTCCTCTGGCTTCTCCCAAGGACTGCTCTCTAGTCAATTTGTGATGACTAGATATTCATTTGGCTAAGTATAGCTCTGTATATTTCTGTTGGTATTGGTGGTGTTTCATTCAAGCTGTTTCACTTCCACCCCCAGGTCTGCTCCCCTATTTCCTGATTCCCCTCCCTGGCTGATGAGGGTTCATCAGGTGATGGAGCAGCTGTTATAGTTTGTCCCTGGGTACAGGCTACGCGTAGACAGCTCCTCTCTGGTCCTTGGCTGTGTGCAGGGCACTGGCTGGGATGCTGTGGAAGTCGGGCTCCGTGGCGTGCTCTGGACCCTGCAGCCCGGGGTTGTTGTGGGTGGATTTGGTGAGCCCTGCGGGGCAGCATCAGGACTGAGCTTCCCACACGCTGACCCTGCCACCCTTCCCTTGCAGGGCCGGTGACACCTGTGCCTTCATCAGCAACACCCGCTTCTCCCAGGCTGTGCATGGCACCTTCCCCAATGTCAACAACACCCTGGACAATGTCCGCACCTACGTGGTGTCCATCCCCCAGGCACGCTTGGTCCCCCTGCCCTGGCTGGGGTGCCTGACGGGGGACAAAGACCCCCCTGTGGGAGGGTGACGGTGGGGCTGGAGGTGGGGAAGAGTCCTCACTCACACTGATATCCCATCTCTGTCCCTGCAGCAAATCAGTTTTATCATCGACAGCAGCAACATCCCGCTGGGCCAGGCCAACCGCAGCCTCCAGGGTGAGGGTGTGCAGCAGGGGGGGCTGGAGCATCCCCATGCACCCACAGCGACCTGCTCCAGTGGGGCTGGGGGTGGTGCGTGGGGGTGCCTCGCTGCCCTGCAGATGGTTGCTGGCCCTGGGGGCCACTGGGCTGCTCTCATGGGGTTGTCTAAAGGGAGTGGGCTTGTTGGCTCCTCCAGGCTCCTGCTGTGCTCCAGCTGCTGCTTTTCCCCACTCAGGCTCAGCTCTAGGGAGCATGATGCAGGTGGTGGCAGGGTGGGGGTGTCCCCTCTGCCCCCCCACCTCGGGGGTGGGATAGGGTGCTGGGGGGGTGGGGTGAGTGTTTTCAGCAGCTCCCCTGCGAACCCTGGGACCCCAGAGGTCCCATCATTGACACTGTCTCTCGCATCTCTGCAGACATTGGGCCCAACCTGGGTAGCATGATCATCTCTGGCATCAGGAGTGGTACAGATGGGGCTCTGGGATCCCTCCAGAGCCTCTTGCAAGGTAGTGGCCCCATCCCTGGGGGGCTGGCAGGGCATTGGAAGGGACTTGGGGGGGGGAATGCTGGGGCAGGTGAATGTTTGGGTAAGGGTCCCTGGGAGAGGGGTCCATCTGGCCTTCCAGCTGCAGGCTGGGGCAACTGATGGGACTTCGGGGGGCGTGCCCCCATGTTGCATTTTTTGATGGGTCCCTGAGGCTCAGCTGGGTGAGGAGGAGCCCCCACCGCACTGGCAGGATGAGGCCCCGAGCTCCCCCCGCTCCCTGTCTCCCCAGGGATGGAGTTGCTGGTGACCGCCTTCGGCAGCATCGCCGGCACTCGCTCTCATCTGGAGG